GGCGACGACAGCCCTGAAGACAGCGGCAGCGAGGGCCTGGCAGCGGGGGAGGAAGGGGGAGAAGGGGACGGAGGTGGAGTTGAAGATACGGTAGGGAGCGAGACCGACTCGACGAACACAGCCGACAACGTAGATTGGGACGATGAAGACGAGGAGGAGGACTCGTTGGGGGAAGGGGAGCAACCCCCCATGGCTTCCACAATCCGGGACTCACGCCCGCCCCCCCCCAAGGCGCAAGTGTCCTCCTCGGCGCGCACCCTGGCCACCACCCCGCATGCCGGCATGGCCGCCAGTCGTAGCAATACTCCAGGAAGGCTGGAGCGTCGCAAATGTCTACACATCAACGTGGAGGACGAAGACGGGGACTGCTACGATACCCGGGGGGGCGGCGGGCGTCGGATGGGTCCGAACGGAATGATTCTCTCACAGGGCTACGGGGGCTACTATGGATCCCTTAGTGTCAGCAGCGCGTCGCTTCCTCAGCAGGAGAAACCGGCGCCGACGGCAGGCTACGGCAGCTGCACGAGCACTAGCAGCCGGGAGAGCAACGCCAGCAGCGGGAACAGCAGTGCGCAGTCTTCGAGTCGGCTTGCGGCGGAGCACAGGGAGCTTTCCCAGCCCTTCCTCTCACCGCTGTCTCAAGAAGCGAGGGGCGGGAGTGGAGGAGAAGACACTGAGCGCAGCGGGCCCTTCGCGGACGGTGCCGGGGGAAGAAATGCGCAGGAGGCACTCGAGGGCGTGGGAGGGGGTGGTGAGGAGGGAGGCCTTGAGGAGGGGCAGATGTGCACGGAGGCCCGTCAGGATATGAATTCGGCAGCAGCTTCAGGAGGGATGGATGGAAGCGATGGGGAGGGGATGGCTCCTGCAGAAAGATTCGAGCGTGGGGTGCCTGGGTGGGCCCCTGGGGGGGATGCGGCGCCCGGTCAGTGCGTTCAATACCCGCCGCCGCTGCCTCACCATGAGGCGACTTCGTGTTTCGGCCCTCCGCAACCCTGAAGGCGGCGCGGGCGGCTCAGGAGGACGAAGATCTGGGCGAGGCGGGAGTGCGGGCGGGAGCAGGCGAGGGAGAGGAGGAGGGGGTGGTCTTCTACCGCTCGGCCGGCGAGAACTTCGACCTGGGCGGCTTCACCATCGGTCGTGGCGGACTGGTCAGCTCCCCCCGCAACAGCCTTCGGAGGCGCCCCTCTTTGAACCAGGGGGATAACTTCCTGGTCCTGGCGCGACTCGGGTCCGGGAACAGTGGCGCGGTCCACAAAGCCTTGCACGTGCCGAGCATGCGCCTGGTCGCCCTGAAGGCTCTGCCTCTGTACGATGCCGGGAGACGGGCGCAGGTCATGCGGGAGCTGAAAATTCTTTACTCGAATCTGGCCAGCATCGACGCCAAGAGAATGACACGAGTGGAGCCGAGCATCGAGGACATGGAAGAAGACGGGGAGGAGGGCGGGGAGGAGGGCGGAAGGGAGGGCAAAGTAGCCGAGGAGGGTTTGGGAGAGGAGAATGCGGATCCTGGGGCGTTGATGGTGAGAAGGGATAGTCTGCACGGTGAAGAGGACAAGGAGCAGTGTGCTGCGGGGCCTGAGAGGGAGGAGGGCGGGGTCGCGGACAAGGAGGACCTTGGGCGCGAAATGGGAGGGGGGGCAGCAGCTTTCTCGACTGGACAGACAGGGATAACAACGTTGAGAGAGGCGACTGGGGTGCTGAGATTGGAAGAAAAGAAGGAGGTAGAGGAGGCGAGGGAGGATATGAGATGGAGGGATGCGGGGTCTCCGGCGGAGAAAGTGGAATCCAGCGCCGACGGGGGGCACTGTCCCTACATAGTCTCCTTCTACGATGCCTTCGCGGACGCCAAGCACGGGTGCCTGACTCTGGTGGTGGAGTATATGAACGGGGGATCGCTGCAGGACTTGCTCGTGGACCGGGGGGGCTGCGGGAGCGAGGACATACTGGCGCACGTGGCGTACAATGTGCTGCAGGGACTGGAGTTCCTGCACGCGCGCAAGAAGATCCACCGGGACATCAAGCCCTCCAACCTACTTCTCAATAGCGCGGGCTTCATCAAGCTGGCGGACTTTGGGGTCTCCAGGTCCTTGGACGGGGGGAGGCAGCGGAGGGGGAGGAAGCGAAGCAGCCGCTAGCCGACACCTTCATCGGGACGCTCGGCTACATGAGCCCCGAGAGGATCACCGGCCAGGGCTACTCTTTCGGCGCAGACATCTGGGGCTTCGGCCTGAGCATGCTGGCCGTGGCTGTGGGCGCCTTTCCCCTCAAGCAGCCCACGGCTTGCTACTGGGGCTTGGTGCACGCGGTCTGCGACAGCCCGTCCCCGGAGGCCCCGCCTGCCTTTTCCCCCCTCTTCCGCGACTTTATTCGACAGTGCCTGACCAAAGATCCGGGCCAGCGTGCCTCCTCGCACGCCCTCCTTCAGCATCCCTTCATCGCCTCCCGCCACCACTTGCACAAGGACGCCCGCGGCCATGTCATGGAGTTCTTGGAGGACCGGGAGGTCAAGGTCGCGGAGCTGGAGACGGTCTGCCAGGTTCTAGCCAGACACTTGACGCAGAAGCGGAGGAAGCTGGCGGCTGAGGCTGATTCCGCGTGTAGAAACTCTGAGTCGGATACAGGGTGGAAGAGAAGAATGAAGGTCGAAAAGGGGGAAGGTGCGCTGGGAGAGGCGGAGGAGGAATGGCGAACTGGCGAGGGACGTGGGGAGGATAACAAGCAAGAATCAGGTGTAGATAGGGATGAGGAGTGTGTCAGGGAGGGCGACATGGGGAAGGATATTGACGAGGAGGAGGACGGGACGGAGGGGTGGCAATGTGGCAAAGCGGGGATCGAGGGCCAGCGCGGTGAGGAGAAGGGAGAGCAGACAAGGCTGCCCATGTTGCGAGAGACCATGGTGCAACGCCTGGCGGAGGAGCTTGCTCTGGAGGAGGGACTTGTTGCAGAGAGCCTTGAGGCTGCTTTTGCCGCCGCTGAGGAGGAGTCAGAAGAAGCACTGATAGCGAGGGCCCCCTCGCCCCCTCCCTTGCTGCCCAAGAACTCTTCAGTCTTGTCACTGACCTCCTCATTCGACTTGTCGATGCTGAAGAGAAGGGAGTCTCTCGAAGGTAAGGAGCGGACAGAGGGACGGAAGGCGGAGGAGGGGGAGGGAAAGCCTGAGATCTTCACGAAGGTGACAGCAGAGAGTGCGTGGAGACAGGAAGAAGCAACGGGTCCAGAATTGGGGGCCGGGAAGCGAGATGAGAGAAATGTGGGCCTGCAAGGTCAGTTAGAGCAGTGTCGATGAAAAGCAGTGGTGTGCAAGAGCTGGGAAGATTGAGAGAGACGGAGCAATGCGGGGGGGATTTACACAGGTAGTGGAGGAAAAGGTTTCAGTGTCTCAGTCTTTCTTTGACGCGGTTATCCAGATTCTTAAGGGCGGCGTGGTGCTTTCCAAGTAACATGTGAATTTGAAAGGGCTTGGAATAAGGTCGGTTGTGCATTGTGCATTTCTGGAGTAGGGAACGGTGAAAGGACGGCATGTGTGATGCCTTGAGGCAAAAGTTTAGCGAAAAGTTAGCAACCGAACGAGCCCATGTGCACGGAAGGTTGCTGTTACACACACAAACAAAAGGGAATCAGCTTGTCTCTTCATCATATGTCGAAATAAAGTGGGGCCTGTAGAGGCTTTTGCTTTTACTGTATCTCTCCTTTCACTTTCGTTCTCATTTCATTTCTCTGACCCTGTGAAGAAAACTGTCGAACGTTTCATGCATTTTGCACATCTTTAAAGACCTTGTGTGATACTCAGAATAAATATGCCAGCTGGCGGAGGTAAGAACAAGGCTGCGCTGTTCGCGGCGAGGCTCAGCTCGCATGGAAAAATCGTCTCTGACATCCTCAACCTCTCTGGCGAATGACAATCTTGCATAGTCCTAGTCATAACGTCTGATATACATCTTCTTTATCCGCACGTGTCGTGGTGATGATCCGTAGGGAGCAGGAAACCACCCCCGACCGCGACGTCTCGAGCAGACCTAGCATTCGAGGAGCACCACGTACCCCCATCGGCCTCAAGCCGCTCACCAGCACCCGCCGGGGCCCCGAACACAAGCCTGGCACACAAGTCGGCGGGTGCGGGTGAAACCGTACTCTTGCATTCTATTACGGACCTTTCAGCCCTAGGCCGATGAGATAAAGCATATGGTCGAATCTCTCACTGCAAAAATGTCGTCCTGGTCTGTTCCATCGACTTACGATGAAAAATCGCTGACCGGCATGGGCCTTCTCTTTCATGTCAAAACACCCCCACGCTTACATCGCGTCCATCATATCTGCTAGAGAACCACGCTCCCATAGTAGAACGCACCCGGTACCCGGTGGTATGCCTGCATCAGCTGCCGGCGTTACCCTTACATCGGGCGGAAATTCTGTTGTCCCTCGCCGCTATATTTTGTCGGAACAAGACGAGGCCCATGTAAATAATAGTAAGTTCGAGGCGGCTGCAGACTTCCAAGGTCCCGTCAAGAAGCGTACATGTACGGATCCCTGCTTTCTCATTTTATTGCTCGGGGCTTGGGCAGTCATGTCATGGATCGGACGGGAGGCCATGTTGAATGGGCATGTTGAGGTCTTGACAAACGGATACGATTGGAATGGCACTGTGTGCCAAGGTTCCACTCCCTTTTTCATGCCTCTGAACATCAAAACTATGGGCGTTTGCCTTGAGGAATGTCCCGAAATCTATGATCCGGCTGTCGTCTTCTGCATCGGGGAGGTGGCCCCCACGGAGGACAACATCCAGAAAGGCTACTGTATTCCTCAGTACCCGACCAAAGAGATCATGAATCGGTGCTACATTACCAACAGCACGGCATTGGAGGCCTTCAGCATGGCTAAATCATACAGGGACGATCTGGATGTATCAGTTTTGACGGAGTTCTACGGAGACGTGATAAATGCTCGGACCTTCATTTTCGGAATCGGCTTCGGCGCCGCACTGATCTTGGGATTCTTGTGGACATGGCTTTTACGTACCCCTGGTCTCATTTATGTGGCTGTTTGGACAGTCAATATGCTTGTGTGGGCGTGCTTGGGCGCCCTAGGCGCGTTCATGTATCTGTGGGCGAATGACTGGAAGAATGATGTTCCCCGGACGCATTCGGACCGCGAGGTTTGGGTGGCGAAAGGCCTCGGCATCTTTTTCTTGGTAATGTGCGCCTTGTGGCTTTGCACGCTTGTCTTTTTGCGAAAGCGGATCAACTTGGCAGTCGGATTAGTTAGGGAGGCGGCCCGGGCGGTGATCGACATGCCCCTGATTGTCCTGTACCCCTTTCTCCAAGCCGCCGGCCTTGTGCTTTTTCTCGTGCCTTGGTCTTTTTACTCCGTCAACATTGCCTCCATGGGCCACTTCGAGCCTCGCCTTTTCCAAGGCACCGGCGTCAATCCATTTGCGGAGGCTGGCCCCGAAGTAATCGTCCAGCGCTTTCAGTACGGCGCAAGCGGCTCGGACTTCGCCTGGTACATGCTTTTTGTTCTTCTCTGGACCGCCCAATTCATAATCGCAGTCGGGCAAATTACCCTCGCTTTGGCCGTATCCACTTGGTATTTCACGCGAGACAAGGGTACGATTGGAAGTGGTACTCTATGTAAGGCTGTGGGCATCACGGGGCTCTATCATCTCGGGACAGCCGCATTCGGTTCTTTGGTCATCGCTGTTGTCGAAGCAATCCGATCAATTATCGCCTACATACAAAAGATACTCAAGCGTTCAGAGAATAAGGTCGCACAGTACCTTCTCTGTTGTTGTCAGTGTGGCTTTTGGTGTCTGGAAAAGATTTTGAAATTTGTTAACAAAAACGCCTACATTCAAACCGCTGTGAATGGGACCTCTTTCTGCACCTCTGGGAAGATGGCATTTTTCCTCATCGCCCGCAATATCATGCGAATCGGAGCGGTATCCCTTGTAAGCGAATTCGTCATAATAATCGGGAAGGTTTTTGTCTCTGTTACTGCCGGCGCTATCTCTTTCTATACCATGACTTTCTTTTTGGAAGACAGGATTCACTCGCCTATCGGTCCTACCATCCTAGTTGTAATATTGGCGTGGTTTACTGCCGACATGTTCTGTCAGATTTTTTCGATGGCAGTTTCTGCCTTGCTCCAAGCATTTATCGCAGACGAAGAAATGTTCGGCCCTGGTGAGCGTTATGCCAGCACGGCGCTTGCTGTCTACATAGATGAAAATGGTGGCAGCAGCGATGGTGGAAATCGAAAACAAAATGGAAATGCGCATCGCACACATTACGATGACGACGATGGTACAACAGGCAAAATTAAAAGCGTAAAGGACAAAGCTGAAGAAGCTGAAATATTCGCTAAAGTCGCTTGTTAGATCAGTCTCAAAGAAATAAATGTAATCATGTATTAAGTGTAATATCACTCACGGCGCGCCTTTCATGTCGTCGTTCTTCCACCGCACATTCAAAGCACACAATATGAAAGAGAATGGCGTGATGTTTTGGTATTGTAAGTAATGACAACTTTCACTTGTGGGCATGGGATGGACTATTTTGTCTTCTTTATTATCTTCCTGCCAGCGCCCTCTTTTTTTGAGCCATGTGCTGCCTTCCTGAGTGTCCTGACGGGCGTGGCCGACTCATTCTTCGATACGTTACTGACTGCGGCTTTTGATATGTTTGCTTTCTTGACAAAGCCCTTAGTACCTGCTTTTACCCCCGGTTTCTTTTTCTTGGCTTTTTTGTCCCCCCCCGCCAGCTTACCTGATTTCTTGAGCGCTTGATATCCCATTACAGCCTTGTGCTTCCGGAACACGGACTGAATCCGAATAGCACACTCAACAGCATGACGCATACGAGCTTCCGCTTCTAAAGCACGTTCTTGCCGCTCTCGCTCCATGTTATTGAGTTCAGCTTGCTGGCGCTCTACCACCGCAAAATGTTCCCGCAGCGCGTGCAATTCATTTTTTTCCTCCCGCGCTGTAGCCCTCAACCAACGAAGATCATCCTGCTTTTGTTTTACGTCCGCCTCGTAATTCTGCATTACATCAGCCAATTTTTCTTCGAGAAGTGTCTGCTTTTCCTTCATCAATTGCTCTGTGAACTCGTATTTTTTAGCCTCCTGAGCCAGGATCGGGACTAAGTCTTCTAGGCACTTTCTGAGCTCTGTAATTTTCGCTGCATGCCTTGTGTGGGCGAGGTCAAGCGAATTTTTCAGTTCCTGGGCAATGTTATCCCTCTCTTCCTTACTTTGGGCTTCCTGTACAGCTAGTTCAGTTTCTAGCTTTTCGCGCAAGCCTTCAAGGGTTGTAATCTCTTCCGATTGTTCGCGCTCTTTGGTGGTAGACACATGCTGAAGCAAAGCAAGGCTATCAAACGTGTGTTTCTCTTTATCCGTTAATTTTCCTAGGGTATTCACCCTTCGAAGGTCATCTTGTAAGGTAGTGGAGAAGCGTTGAGTCAAAATATTTCTAAGGTCGCAAAGGGCACCAATGAATAAGGAGAATGTAGGCGAAGCATATGCATCAATTTTAGGATGGAAGCGGCGCATTGTGCGGACCAGGTGACGGGTAATAGATAGATGGTTTTTCAACATTGTATCACGTGAGGAATTTCCTGACGAATGGGGGGAACACCTGGAAGGAAATAGGTTCGAGGATTGACTTTGGTATGCAGATAACTCGGTTTCTGGCGGTGGAAAAAGAGGAGATGATTCAGGGATCGGCAATGCAGGCGAATATGGGAATGGCGGCATTAAAAACGACTTCATCACGTTTTCTTCCATATCCTGCTGTTCGCTCAAAATATTCGAAACATCTGGGGAGAAGTGTAGGTTTGGGTCTTGCGACAGACGTAGAGGGATTCCGGCTAACAAATTTAGAGAATTTAGCGCATCTTCCAGCAATGACAGTATCCGCTGAGCTTCCGTCTTATTGGCTATGACAATCATTGCTGCTGTGATCTCTGCAAGAAAATTGACCTCAGAGGTTTTATCAAATGAAAGAAAGGCACGTTTTTAATAGTTCTGATTTTTGGGTAAGGCCTTTCCTAGTAACGGAAAATCAGCGAGCAAGAAAATTTCAAGCAGCCGAGTGCCTGGGGAGGTATAAGGGGTTTGACGCGAAAGCGTGCAGCCTTTGAAGACACGCCTCAGTTGTGTCGGTTTCGCTGTTCAAATATGCATTTCAAAAAAGCATCCAGTCAACATTGGCCTTCTCATTGTCTAAACAGGCTACGTGGCGTGCACAATCAGCATCGTGGCAGAATTATTTGTGCAGGCATGAGAGGAAGAGTTCGTTTCAAGCGTTGGCTAAGAAATTTGTCACCTTTTTCGCTCTGAAAGTATGTATGTTTTAGACATGATTAAGTTACTCCCTTTCTTTCAGAAATCCTGTTCGCCTTCACTCGGGTGCTCGTCATTTGGGGAATTATTGGTGCCATTTTTGGCTTCTGCCCTCGTTTTACCTATCCCATTCTTGGTGCAACGACTATCTTTCTGTAAACTATCTTTGATGTTTATATGTTGGTGAAAAATTCCACCGACTCGGAGGAGGTTTTGGTTTTCATTTCGATTACATCTGATGAGAAGATACGCTCGCCTTCATATGATTCAAGAGGCGGTGAAGAAAGCTTGCAAGAAGGTGTCTTCTTCATACGTCTCTTTGTCGAATTACTTTGCCCCAACAAGACATACCAAATATCTTCCTATTATGTTTTAAAGGCTTGCAGGAAGTCAGCGACAGCAGAGGCAGCAATGACACGGGGAAAGTATGTTGTGGTATGTGGAAAAGACTTCATGTTTGTCATTTCTTTGGTTTCCTGCTTGGCCTGGGCCAGATAGCAGCTTGAGCACAACCACTTAGTCTCTACAATCCAATTACAAAGAGGTTTGCGGCACGAAGGACGTTATGTAAGGCAACAAAAAGAAGCTAGAAGTAAAAAAAAGAAAAAGCAAGAATGTACATGCGTCAAAGGGCTCCCTTTCTGGCAAGAGCAGAAAATAGGATCATGTCATGAATGTTGCTTTTTACACAGGATGGTACAATTTTACAAGTGGCGTGCACAAGCTTGTGGACGTAAGTCAGTCGTCCATCATCTAGTCAACAAGTCCGTCATAAGTTCCTCTCCGTACGCAGCCAGCAGCGAAATGGAGCTGGCTCTTCTCAAAACATTCTCTGCGACCTTTCTTTGCCCCTCAGTCATGAGCAAAGAGAGATCGACACTTTGACAGCTTTTGCCCGGCAGTGGCAGCCCCACTATTGTCGTCATCTCTCGCGGCACTCCTGCGGCATCCGCCGCCTCCATTGCCCGCTGGATCATCGCCTGGACACGGTTCTCGTCCATTTGACCAGTCCTCCTCCTGGCCTCCCACGAAACTTTGTCATCTCTGCCAGACTTCTCCTCATCTTTCCATTTCTCGTGCCAGGACAAAATCACGAGCATACCTGCGGCGCCTCCAGACCGTCGAGCAGATTTCAAATAGTCCGTAAGCCGACGTTGAGCCCAGGTTGGAGAAAGAAGCAAGCGAGGTAGATCTATGACACATATACTACATTTGTCATGTCTCCTGAACCTGGGTCTGACATAAAGGCGAATGATAAACGCCCCTCCTCGCGGCATCCAGTACACGAGAAGAGCGGACGCCGAGATCCCTCCCAGGAGACCCAGCTCTGTATCAAATGCAAGGGTGATTGCAAATGTGACGAAAGCTACGATTGCGTCGAGTTTGGACCGCCGATACTCCCTTCTCATGCCCTCAAAGTCCAAAAGATTGAGGAGGGCTACCTCGATGATAGCACCCAAAGTCGCGCGGGGAAGGTAATAGAAGAATTGCGCGAAAAAGGAAAGGACCATCATCACACAGACCGCACTGATGGCATTGGCGAGCTGAGTCTGCGTTCCAGCCGAATAGCTGACTGCACTCCGAGAGAAGGAGCCTGACACAGGGTAGGAAGAAAAAAATGAAGCGCCTAGGTTGGCGGCGCCTAGACTTAGGAGCTCTCGATTGACATTCAGATGGTAGCCTTCTTGAAGGGCGTATTTTTTGGCCACGGCATAGGCCTGTGAAAACAAAGAGGGGAAGAGAGCATCGTGGGGTGTAAGCGAAAGCGGCCGGGGGGGTGGCTACGAGGGGAAAATGGTGCCCACCTCCATAAAGGCCACCAAAACAACGCCCAGACTGTGCTCCACGATGGTCCAGAACCGATCCAACCGGGGGGCTCCGGGGGAGGGCAAGCCTGCGGGCACATTTTTGACAATAATGATCTCCACCCCTCGACTCAGGAGAAGGCGGGCGACCAGGGACGTGACGATCACCAGGACCAGGCTAAGGAGGGGGTACATGGCTTCCAGCACAGACAGGAAGCGCCGTGGCACACCCGTTCCCGCGGGGGAAGCACGCTGCATGAATCTTTTTCTGAGCTGTTTCGCGGCGAGCAGGAAAACAATGCACCCCAGACCCACACCTGCTGAAGCTGCTTGGCCATCCCCTAAGTGCCGCAACACGTACCAGCCCGACTGCCAGGTGTAGTCAAAGCGAGGGACCCCCTGGAGCCCCAGCAACTCCTTGATCTGACTCACACCTATAGCTAGTGCGGCGGCGTTGGTGAAGCCCACCATGACCGCCGGAGGAATGAGATGCGCGATCAGACCCAAGCGGAAGAGTCCGAGGGCGGACAGGATGACGCCGGAAACGAAGGCTATGGACAGGGCGGCGTGGACGCGTACCGCACTGGCCTCCTCTTCTGGCAGCGATAAAAGGTCAGGGTACAGCACGTCGTAGACGCGGGGCAGGCTCAAAGAAACCAGGGCGACGGGACCTATGGAGATGTGCCGGGAGGAGCCTAGGAAGGTGTAGACGAGGGGGCCGGACACCGCGCAGAAGAGTCCGTACACAGGAGGCAGCTCGGCCAAGACAGCGTAGGACATGCCTGAAGGAAGATAAATATGCGATCTTTCAGCCCATAATCAGGTTTTTGAAACTTATTAAGGGACATGTACAATACCTTGAGGGATCACCATTACGGCTACAGTCAAACCGCCCAGCAAATCCCCCCAAAACTGATGTCTGGTGTATTTCGGAAGCCACTTCACGACTGGCGGTGGAAACATTACCACGCGTGGAAACAGTTCGAGCCACCTGCGGTAGCGCTGCTCTTGGTTTTCGTGGGTCACCGGGCTACTCGACTTCGGATGATGAGCAGCTGTCCATGCAAACAAGGGGGCGGGCGGCAGGAAATGGAGCAGTCCTTCGTCTGTGTCGGTACTTTGATACTCTTGATCGCTGTCACTTTCCTCAACCCATTCCCAAGGGGTCCTTGGAGCGTCTGCA